GCAAGTCTCACTAATTTCAACACACCAACCCTCACTGCCCCAGTCACTGTATCAAATCCATCTCATCTGGGGTCTTCTTCCCCTGTGCTGTCCCTCCACCCTTCCAAGCATGATTTGCTTCTCCAAGTCTCTCCTGGACACATGCCCAAAGTATGTGAGATGGAGCTTGAAAATCCTAGCCTCCAAGGAGAAACTTGGTTTCACCCTCTCTAAGATAGACCTATTTGTGTTCTTGGTGGTCCATACTATGTTCAAGACTCTTCTCCAGCACCACAATTCAAAAGCATCAATTCTTCTGCCATCCTTAGTCATTGCCCAGCTCTCTGATGTATAGCAAGTAACTGTGAAGACCATGACCTGGATTAGGCACACCTTAGTCTCCAGTCTGACATCGTTGCTTTTCAGCATTCTGGAAAGGTCCCTGACAGCAGATTTTTCCCAGTGCAATTCTTTTGATTTCCTGACTGCTGGTGTTAAGAGTGTTGATTGCAGAGCTGAGCAAGCTGTAATTGTTAACAACCTCAATCACTTCTTCATCTATCATGATGCTACCAATTTGTCCAGTGGTAAGAATCTTTGTTTTCTTGATATTGAGCTTACAAGGAACAAAATGGTCTATCCAATAGGAAAGTGAAACTGGGTCATTTCTAGATAAATACAAGCTCAGGGGATTTGTGAAAACAAATATCCTGGAAAGGGAGAAACCTTAGGGTGATGTGCACCTCAGAGGCGAGGACGCTCCAGTGACGGTGAGGTTCAGTCTCACGTATGTGGCCTTGTTGTCTGGAGGGTCATTCCTTGGAAAACTCCAAATCCTTGGAAAGTCAAGGAAAGAGAGGTAGACCTTAAACAGGACAGATACACAGTGACTGTAACAATGGGCTGGAGTATATGAGAATGACTAAGATGGTGCAGGAAAGGATAGAGTTCAGATCTTTAATTTATAGGGTCATTGTGAGTCATATCTTCCAATAATTTCCACACTCTGTCAGATCACCATTTTTTGGAATGGGAATAAATTAAAATCTCTTCCAGTCAGTTGGCCAGGTAGATGTCCTCCAGATTTCTTGGCACAACCTGATAAGCACGTTCAGGGAAGTATCTGTATGCTGAAATATGTCAATTGGTATTCTGTCAATTCCTGGAGACTTGTTTTTTGCCAATTCCTTCAGGGCAGCTTGAACTTCTTCCTTCATCACCACAGACTCTTGGTCATATGTTGTGTGATGAAATCCTTCTGTGTCAGCCAAGTCTTTCTGATCCAGTGACTCTGTGTACTGAGGATGGATTCTGTCGATGCCTTCCATCTTCTGATGTTTTCCGGATCATTCAACAGTGTGCCCATAGCATCCTTAAGTATTGCAAAACAAGGTTTGAATTTGTTCCTCAGTTCTTTCAGCTTCAGAAACGCTGGCCGAGTCTGTCCCTGTTGATTTCCCAGCTCCAGCTCTGTGCACATATCATTATAATACCTGGGTCACAACCAATTGTGGCCAAGGAAATCCAAGAACACTTGATTGTGTTCATGCATAGCCCACATTAGACCAAGAAGCAGTCATCAAAAGAGAGCAAGAAAACATTGGACAGTTCAAAATCAGGAAAGGTGTATGTCAGGTATGTATCCTATCTTCATACCTTTTCAATCTGTATGTGGAAAAGATCATCTGGGAGGCTGGAGTTTTATTAGGAGGAATGTGGCATCAGGAGTGGAGGAAGATTCATCAACAACCTGTGTTGCTAATACTAATTTTAAATCCTTATCTACTCTCAGATTAGAAAAATTAAATTCATTAATTATGCTAATAATTTTACATTTCTCTAACTGGTATACCACTGGTCTGTCCATTTACTGTACAAAGGTAACTTGTGGTTGCTGTGATGCTGAACACCGTGACACTGATATGATAACGTTTACCCATGGTGGACAGTGTTTGGTGGAGCTCCCCAATTAAAACAAGCTTGGAATTTGGAGTGGCATCCAGTCCAGAAATAGCTTGCCTCCAGAAATTCTATAAACTTGGAGAAACGATGAAAGTTATACAAGTGTTCAGGTCTTTTATTCACAGGGTTGCTTATGACTCGCCTATGACTTGGCGGCAATTAACAATAATTTTACCCTCTTCAGATTTTGCATTTCTGCCTGTATTTGACAGTCTCTTTAAACCATAGACTAGGCCTTCTAAGCTTGATCCCAGTTTGTCTCTTATGAACTTTATGGTTTCAGGCTTTACTCCAAGGTCTCTGATCCACCTTGAGTTGATTTTTGCATATGGTGTGAGGTGTGGATCCTGTCTCAGCTCTCTGCACATGGTAGTCCAGTTATGCCAGCATTATTTGTTGAAGAATTCCCTATTTGATGTGTTTTATTTCCTTGTTGAATATCTGTTAACAAACTGTATTTAATATTACAAGACAAAATGTCTAAGAATAATTGCATTAAAAATCAATATGATTATAAATTTTCAAACTAAATTTTTCTCAATGTTTTATTATTCACAGCGCTCACAGTAGGGTCTGGTGGCTGGGTCTTCACAAGCGACTTTTCATATATTATCTAATGTTGGCCATATGCAAAAAACCAGAGAATATACTTTTCTAATTGCGATGAAAGCCGAACATCTTTTTCCCCGTTTTCTGGCTGAGCAGCCATCATGCTCCCAAGGCAGATTCATGTGGCAAAGACCTGGAAATACAAAGAAACTGATGTACCAGGACACTAGAGCAGGGGTAGGAAGAGTGGACAGGTGGTCTCCTCCCAGATAGAAACAGAGCAGAGCCATTAACGTAGCATCACTGGCCACAGTTTTCTTAGTTCAGTGGCAAATCCCTTTCCCAGTCCTAAGTTTTTGCTAGCTCCTGTCGAGTAAACAACAATGCACTGCAATCCTCTTAACACTGGACCTGAACCCTGTCCTATCTTCTGCCATCCTCATCATTTCTGACATACCTGAGTCAATCCATCCCTTTCACTAATTCCCCCATCCAAGACAATGTCCTTGTCTAGAGACCAGCTCCTATTAACCACATGCCCAAAATACGTGAGAGGCAGCTCCACCATCCTTGCTTCCAAGGAGCACCTTTGTTGCACTTTCTCTCAACAGTCCATGAGATACCTTGTGCTCTTCTCCAACACCACAATTCAAAGGAACTGACTCTTCAGTCATCCTTAGTCAATGTCCAATTTTCAGGCACATAGCAAGAAACTGAAAATACCATGACTTAAATATGTACCTCAGTCCTTAAACTGACTTAGACAGACTGACACAATGACTGTGGCAATGGGGGCAGGTGTTTTGGAAATGGTGAGGTTAGCTCAGGCTTGGGCAAGGCTGAGAACTATTGTTCACAGAGTTACAGCTGACTCAACAGCACATAACAACAATAACACCTTGGAAAGGTCTTTGACAGTAGATTTATCCAATGCAATACGTCTTCTGATTTCTTGACAGCTGGTATGAAAAGTGTTGACAATGGATCATGAGATCGTGGACAACATCAATCTTTTCTCCATCTATCCTGATGCTGCCACTGGCCCAGTGGTGAGGATGTATGTCTTCTTGATGTTGAGACATAATCCAAATTGAAGGCTGTAGCCTTTGATCTTCAGTATTTCACACCCTCTTTGCTTTCAGCAAGCAGGGTTGTCATCTCAATATTGCAGGTTGCTGATGAGTCTTCTTCCAGTCCCGATGCCACATTCTTCTTCACATAGTCCAGCTTCTCAAATGATTTTCTCAGCGTGCAGACTGAAGAGGTATGGAGTACGGATCCAGTTTTGACACACACCTTTCCTTAAACCATGCCGTGTTTCCTTATTCTGTCTAGACAACAGCTTCTTGGTCTAAGTATACGCCTCATATGAGCACAATTAAGTATTCTGGGATTCTCATTCTTCTCAATGTTAGCCCTAAGTTATTAAGATCCACAAAGTCAATGTGTTTGCATAGTCAATAAAACACAAAGAGACATCCTTGTGGTATTCTCCGCTCTTAGCCAGGATTCATCTGACATCAGCAGTGATACTTTTCATGCCACACTTCTAAAGTCATTCTAAACTTGGGCAGTTCTGGGCTGATGTACCATTCCAGGCATTTCTGCATGATCTTCAGCAACACTTTACTTGCACTATAGGCAAATACTCCAAAGCAACACAATTACCATTTGATCTTTGTTCATGAGCAGGGAAGTGCCCCCTCGGGAGTTCCCCAGAGAGTAGCAAAGGCCTTGCAAGCATGCTCACAGCGGCAGCTCTGTGTGCAGCTGTCACAGAGCACAGGGGACTGGTGTGGACCAGAGGGAGGCTGGGAATGGACATGCTGAGGTCGCACATCCAGCAGAGGAAACTGCCAGGGAAGCAGGCTCTTCACAGCAGAGGCAGCACCCACTCAGCTCTGGGCACATCCAGACGGCCTCCTTGCCAACGTCCCTCACCACAGTGGGGGTGCCACCCCAGGAGCAGCTATGCCAGCTGAGAGCTGAGTCTGCCCTGGTGCAGGGTCCAGAGACAGCCAGCATAGAGCAGACCACACCTGAGGAAGGGCAGGTGCACAGAGTCTTTCCTAAGTACTCTTACTGATGAAACACGGAAGGGAAGCTCTGATATTACAGCACCAGGAGCCCGTGAAGCGTCAGGACTCGGAATCTCTAACTCACGTCTTCTCTCAACCACAACTACTTCAAAATCGGTTTACTATGTTATGTCTGTTAAAATGTCCATGCAAAGCCCCTGAGAGCAGAGCACAAGTCTAGACAACACTCAGCTCCACCCACGTCCCCTAAGACCTGGAGCGTTTCCGAGCCCCAGGGCACCTGCGCTGAGTCAGGTCTCACTGCACCACAGTCTAGTAGCCCGATTTGTGAATAGTCATCACATTACCTCCCCAAATCCAGCCTTGCTTCTGGCCTGCTGTAGCTCCTCTGAAGGGAACACAGCAGTCCCCACCACTGAGGGCCAGCGAGGCTCGGCGTAACTCACACGCATGCAGGTGCAGGCACTCTACCTGAGAAAGCAGCAGGCGTCCCTCTGAGGCAGGCTTCAAAGACAAGCAGTAAATGGTTGGCTAAGCCACAGGCCAGTCGCTGACCATCACCTGCCAGAGGACAGGGAAGAAGTATTTGCACCAGGACCTAAATTTGAAGGTCCTGTCGTTATTCCTAGGCACTGAGACCATCTGAAACAACCAGGTGGCCAGTTTTTAACCCTCTAAGCATTAACCTCCTGCACTGAGGTTGCCCCCAGTACGCTGGCCCACCCACAATGTGTGACTGCACACCTCCCCACTGTGTACACAGAAGAGGATATGAGGACAAGAGTGTTAACTGCCTGCCCAGTCAGTGAGGGGACAGCCAACCCAGATCTGACCATCACACGGCCCAAAGAACAGGACCACCACCCTCACGTGTCTGGCGTGTCCTTTACCAGTCCTTGAGAAGTTACTCAGCAGAGCTGATAGGACTTCACGGCAGGTGTCATAACCAGCTCTGCTTGAAACAATGGGAAAGCGTCCATGGGCTCTCAGTCCAGTAACCCAATACCGCAACGTGTAGAAGCAGAACACCTGAGACAGAAGTTCCCAGCCTCCGAGTTTCTTCAGACAGCACGCAGAAAAGGCAAGTTGTTAGAACAGAGCACACTGGCACCGCAGGCCTCACCAGGACGTGCTCCCATGGACAGGCTGGTGCTGCCACCTGAGAACAGACAGCTGGCCTCCCAGGGGAGTCACTGCCATGTCTGTGTGTTCATCCTCAAACTGCCTTCCACGGTCAGCGTGAGCCTGGCATTGGGAGCAGCAGCTAGAAATGGCCTGACGGTGAGCTGACCCAGGGCAGTTCACAGTGTGTCTGTGAATAGTCATGAGCGAGCGAGCGAGCGAGACCAAGAGTGACTGTTCTAAAAGGAAGACTCCTTAGTCCAGATGCAAGAAAATATCACAGCACTTGAGTGACAGAGATACAGGTCAACTTGTCCTCACACTTCTGGAGGTAACGACTCTAGCCACGGGAGAGGGGGCAGGTTCCCTGAGGGTGGCGTACCTGAGTACTGCAGACAGCAGACCGCGGTCGGCGATGTGGCCACAGAGACCTGCTCATGGAGGTGGGCCGGCGGGGAGTCCCCCAGAGGGTAGTCATTGCTGGAAGGAATATCAGGATTTATGAAGTTGAGTGAAGGCTTGGAGGGGCACGCTAGTGGAAAGGAGGCGGGTCTCCCAACCACCAGGTGTCATCGTACCCAGGGGAACATGATTGTGTATGTGTGTATGCATGTCTGTCTGTGTGTGCACATACCCATCTACCCAACCAGAGGGCTGGCGAGGAGAACCCTGTACAGAGCAGGTCCCTCCCTAACCGCCCAGGTTCAACACTGGCAGAAGAGCCTGCATGAGACAGGGATCAAGTGTGGGGACACATCTGATGGCTCCAGGATGTGCTCCTGCCTACCTGTGACAGCCACAAGAGGAACTTTATTTATGATACACGCCACGTGAGAAACTGCTTCAGATGCACATCATGTTAGAAATGACTTCTCATGCAGGCCACGTGAGAAGCTTTACTTGAGATGTACATAACCTGAGAAACTTTACTTCTGACGAAAACTGTTGTTGTTGTTGTTGTTGTTGTGTGCCATCGAGTCATTTGCGACTCATAGTGATCCTATGTACAACTGCCCTAAACCGTGCTCTATCCTACGCCAATCGCATTGCCTCTGACACACCCATCCCGATTACCCCAGTCACTGAATCAATCTACCTCATAGAGCTGTCCCTCCACCCTACCAAGCATGATGTCCCTCTCCAAGGACCTGTCTCTCCTTACAACATGTCCAAAGTATGTCAGACGAAGCGCCAGAATCCTTGACTCCAAGGAGTAGCCTGGTTTAACCCTGTCTAGGATGAATCTGTTTGTTTTCTTGGCAGTCCAGGGTACATTCAATACTCTTTTCCAGCACCACAGCTCAAAGGCATCAATTGTCTATCCTCCCTAGTCATTGTCCAACTCTCTGATGCATAACAAGTGATTGCAAAGACCATGGCCTGTATCAGGCCCACCTTAGTCTCTAGAGAGACAACGTTGCTCTTGAGTACTTTAGACAGGTCCCTAACAGCACACTTACCCATCGAAATACATTTTTTTATTTCCTGGCACCTGGTGCCAAGAGTATTGACCATTGAGCTGAGCAAACTGAAGCTGTAAACAATCTCAATCTTTTCACCATCCAACCTGATGCTACCAATTGGTCCAGTGGTGAGAATCTTTCTCTTCTTGACATTGAGCCTCAGTCCATACTGAAGGCTGCAGTCCTTGACCCTCGGCAGCAAGTGCATGAGGTCCTCCTCAGTTTCGGCAAGCAGGGTTGTGTCATCTGCATAACGCAGATTGTTAATAGATCTTCCACCAATCCTGATGCCACACTCCTCATAGAGCCCAGCCTCTCGGATAATCTGCTCTGCATACAGGTTGAAAAGGTATGGAGATAGGACACATCCCTGGTATACACCCTGCCCAATTTTGAACCATGCAGTGTTAAACTACGTAAGAAATTTTACTAGTGGTGCACTCCACGTGAAGAACTTCTAAGCACTATAGCGCAGCTCTTTTCAGCTGCTGTGATCTTAAACATCAACAGCCACAAAGAACCCCTGAGCCCCTCCCAGGCTCTTCTATGGTGGACAGCAGTTAGCCAGAGGTCAGCACCAAACCTAATCCCAGTATCCACTCCAAGGCCTCGCAGAAGAATGGCATCCCAGGCATGAGTCAGCTGAACGGTCAAGCCAGCTCTCAGTGTAGCAAGAGCATGAGCTTTCTAGTCACCTGTCCTCCTGAAGTGGCTTCAGCTTACTCACTCCCACACAGAAGGGCTGGCTTAACTCCCTCAGCGTTACCGCTGGTCCAGAACTAGCAGAGAGGCCTCAAGGGTAGCAGACAATTTTTACAATGTATGCCATTAGAGGGCCCTTCAAAGTCACTGCAGAATGCAGAGGTAAAAACAGCAGCTGTAGCAGAAAATGCAATGTGACTGAGCTCAGAAGACTTCAGGGTGTGAACATTTTATCACTTGAGTGTGTGAGTGTGTGTGTGTGTGTGTGTGAGAGAGAGAGAGAGAGAAATGCATCTACGTGTACATACAAACATGCACACATGGACATCCACGCATGTGCACATACATATACACATATGCACAAACACATATACACACATATGCACGTCCCACATACACACATGCACTCAAGTGTGCACATACACGTCCACACATGCACACGTGCACATCCACACGTCCACACATGCACATCCACACGTGCACACACACATCCACACGTGCACACACACACATCCACACGTGCGCACATGCACACATCCACACGTGCGCACGTGCACATCCACACGTGCGCACGTGCACATCCACGCGTGTGCACGTACACATCCACGCGTGCGCACGTACACATCCACGCGTGCGCACGTGCACACACCCACGCGCACGCACGTGCACGCCCACGCGCGCCCACGCGCGCGCGCACATGCGTGCGCACGCCCCCACGCGCAGAAATACACATCCACACGCGCGCACATGCACACGCGCGCGCACATGCACATCCACGCGCGCGCACATGCACACCCACGCGCGCGCACATGCACACATCCACACGCGCGCACATGCACGCCCACGCGTGCGCGCATCCACACGCGCACACGTGAACACCCACACGCGCGCACATGCACACACCCACACGCGCGCACATGCACACACCCCCACGCGCGCACATGCACATCCCCACGGGCGCACATGCACACGTCCACACGCGCGCAAATACACGTCCACACGCGCGCAAATACACGTCCACACGCGCGCACACACGTCCACACGCGCGGAAATACACGTCCACACGCGCGCACATACACATCCACACGCGCGCACATGCACACATCCACACGCGCACACATACAAACCCACACGCGCGCACACGCACGTCCACACGTGCCCACACGCACGCGCCCACACGCACGCATCCACACGCACATCCACACACGCGCACGCCCACACGCGCGCACATGCGCACATCCCCACGCGCGCACATGCACATCCACACGCGCGCACATACACATCCACACGCGCGCACATGCACATCCACACGCGCGCACATGCACATCCACACGCGCGCACATGCACACATCCACACCTGCGCACATACACACCCACGCGCGCAAATACACACCCACGCACGCAAATACACACCCACACGTGCGCACATGCACACATCCACACGTGCGCACATACAAACCCACGCGCGCGCACATGCACACCCACACGCGCACGCATCCACACGCGCGCGCATCCACACGCGCACACGTGAACACCCACACGCACGCACATCCACACCCACACGCGCGCACATGCACACCCCCACGCGCGCACATGCACATCCCCACGCGCGCACATGCACACATCCACACGCGCGTAAATGCACATCCACACGCGCGCACATACACATCCACACGCGCGCTCATACACATCCACACGCGCGCACATGCACATCCACACGCGCGCACATGCACATCCACACGCGCGCACATGCACACCCACACGTGCGCAAATACACACCCACACGTGCGCACACACATCCACACGTGCGCACACACATCCACACGTGCGCACACGCACGCCCACACGTGTGCACACGCACATCCACACGTTCGCACACGCACACCCACACGTGCGCACATACACATCCACACGTGCACACATCCATATCCACACATGTGCACATACACATCCACACATGCAATAAATACATATCCACACGTGCGCATATACACATCCACTTGTGCGCACATCCACATTTGCGCACATACACATGCACACATCCACACGTGTGCACATACACATCCACACGTGCGCACATCTACAGGTGCACACATCGACATCCACACGTGCGCACATACATACTTGCCGTGTGCTGTTGTGTCTTAGCAAACCCATAGCTGACCTTCTGATACGTTTTCAAAGGCAGTAAATCACACTCTTATAAATGGTTTGAAAATAATTAAAGTCTCTAAACGGTTTCAGAGGAGTTCTATTGGTTCAGTGGAAGGGAGCTATCTGCCAACCCAAAGGCATATGATTCAAATCCACCAGCCACTCCAAGGAAGAAAGATGGGCTCCATGCAGCTGACAGTCTCTGAGACTCCCTGATGGTCAGCTGTGCATCAGTTCTGCCTCGATGGCCCCCAACAATAAGAATACACTGGTTTGAGTTGACTTCTAATGTGCAACACAATTACTTACCATTTGTAGCTTTTCTTGCAGCTGGAAGATCTTTTACCATCACTCTTAATATTGGTCTTTGGTGAAAACATAGTTACTCTGTTGGCAAAGAAAATCTGTCATTCTAAAAAATCACAATTTATGAGAGGGTTTAAAAAAAAAACAAGTGTCCTGATGGCTCAGGGATTAAACTCTATGGCTGCTCCCTAAGAGGGCAGAAGTTCAGATCAAGCATCCTCTCCAATGCGGACGGGGTGGGGGTGAGTTCTGCACACATTACAGCCCTGGGCGCCCACCACAAGCCAAGAACAACCCAAGGGCAGTGGGTTCGGGGCTCTATGTTTCTTAACAGACTTTTATTTTACCATCAAAGATAAAATAAGACACATAAATGCTTTCAGTATCTCAGGTTAGAAATAAACTAGACATCTGATTTTTAGTTTCTTATCTATTTGTCCACCTATAAATAGACATGAACTATTTCAAACTGAAACTAAAATGTATTTGCATATAAAATCATGAGCAATACTAACTAGTTACACAAACTGTGGCTTACTAGGAAGAACGAAGACAGCAGTCATTTTGCTAAGACCACATTGCAAAGTATCTGTTAACTAAATTTTGTAAAATTTGTATTAAGAATTAGAATTGGAAGCAGCATCCCAGAAACAAGAACGTCCTTAGGAGGAGGGCCTTATTTTCTCATGGAGATGCGAGTCATCACCTTAGAGAAGTTTGTCCCACTGTGGGCGCCACTGCAAACCCACTCGGAGGTGGGTGCGCTGTATTGTCACATGGGCCTCTGCTTTACTGCCTTGGAGCAGGAGATGAGGAAGACACTCCGCAGGCCTTTGAATCAGACCTGGGTGGTCAGATGAAGAAAGAACTCAGCAGATTTAGCTGGTGGGTCCCATGCTCCCTGTGACAATGCTGGCAAAGGTCGCGACTGGCCACATGCCAGTCTCAGCCAGCACCTGCCTCTCCTGGTAAACAGCCTGCTCATGGGGAAGCCACAGTCCTGCCTGGTCCTAAGGTCACAGGAGCTAGCTAGAGGCCGTGACTTGAGGCCCAGGGGAGGCAGGTAATCAAGGAGCCATCAGTGACCACAGGGCCTCAGAAGTGGGAAATGGGGTGAGGCTGAGAGACCTGGGAAACATTCTAGACAGAATGCTGACAAGTGCAGCACTGGCCAGGCCAGCTCCTTCTTGAGAGGTGTGAGGGACCTCGGCCTGGTAGACAAAGGTCCTGCTTCCTTTGTCCCTATGCCCCAGAAAGATGGACTCTGCTACAGCTCCTCTGCTAGGCCCGGACTTGGTCTGAGGGGCTATTTTAGGATCAGCAGCTCACTGTGAAACAGGGGCAAAGGGAGCAGTGGGCAGTCCAGGTGGAAGTTTTGACCTCTCCCAAGTCTCACTCCTCACACCCCCAATCTCACCTCTAGTGTCCCTGGACCCTCCACAAGCTTAGGGTCCTGCTGACCACCACAGGCCCTTTGTGTGAGCCCCTCTCCTGTGATGGCCCCTGCTGTCCCTCCATACCTGCGGGGCTCACTCAGCCATGGCCCTTCCACCTTGCCTCTGTACTCGCCCTCTGTCCCTCGGCTCCCTTCCTGCCTGCATCCTTTACCACCCTTGCCACTGCCCTCACCAAGGGGAAGTCCCTTCAGGTCGGTCAGGTGACCGCTCTCAGCACCTGTGCCCTACACATTACACCCAGGCCCTGCACAATCCAGCCCTAGAAACCCACTTTCTGCCTCTTCATGGGGCCAGCTTAACTGAAAGGACATTCTGGTACATGCACATTTGAGGCATCATATCTAAAATCTGGTAACTGGTCATGTGCTCCCAGTACCAGCTGAACATACCTTGGGGCAGAGGTATAGCCAGAAGACTTGACAGAACCATGGAAGACAAGTGGCTGGTCCTGGATGCGGCCCCGGGTCCCTTCACAGTGCAAAGTGCTACCTGAGCGCCAGAGCTGACCTGTGCATGGCCCACAGTGTGTCCACCGTGGAAGGGGGAAAGGCAGTGTATTGATAATGATGATGACGACATACAACCCCATGCCTGTGCCTGACCTTGCCATGCCCGGGGTACAAACACAGCAGCAGGGAGAGAGACTGTGCATTTATTATTATTAATTGTTATTATTCAGACACACAGCACTGTGCCTGGGCCCAGCCCACGATGTATCTGTGTGAGAGGAGAGTTAGCATTGATTAGCGCTCGCCCAGCAATGCAGACAGGGTCCTGGACTTCTATACACCAATATGTCCCTCTCTGCCATGCGACCTTTGATGACTCAACCACAGGTGTCCAAACCAAATCAGTACTGCTGGTTTCTCCACTAGATCCCCTCTTCTTGCCAAAACTTAATTAGTTCTATGTGGTAAAGTCTGTACTACTTCTGTAAACCCAACTAACCAAACCCCCCCTATTCCCACTCACTGCCCAGCCTTCTTTCTGGGACCCCAGCCACCACAGCCAGCTCAGACTCCCACCTACATGCACGTCCAGTCCACTTGGGGACTGCTGGGGTTCATCCCTAGGATTTGAGGATTAACTACAATGATTCCTCAATGTACAACTAGAACACAGTGACTCCCAGAACTGTGCAAAGCACTGGGCTTGGAATGGCAGCTTCCCAACAGCAAAAAGGGTGTCAAGGAGAGACACAGAAGCAGCCTGGGGAGTGCTCCCACAGCGGACCTGCCAAATCCCCAAAAGGGATGCACCACTCAGCCTCACACGAGGTTATCAACATGATATCAACAACTGCATCCTTTCTGAATCAACCATCCACATCAATGAAAGCCGTAATCAAGAAATCAAACAACAAACTGCCTTGTGCAAATCTGCTGCAAAGCACCTTTTAAAACTATGGAGGAAACAAACCAAACAAATCCAAAGATGTCAGTTTGGTGACTAAGGTGCACCTGATCCAAAACAGGGTCTTTTCAGTAACATCTCATCTTCGCAAAAGCTGCTGTTGTTCTTAGCGACCATCCAGTCCACTCCAGCTCATCGTGACCTGATGAATAACAGAGCTGAACCTTGCCCTGTCCTGCCCAATCCTCAGTCTTTCATGCTCAAGTTCATTGCGGTAGTCACTGTGCCAAGCCGTCCCAGGGAGTCCTCTCTTTCTCTGATCCTCTACTCTTTCCAGCATGATGTCTTTCCCCAAAAAACTGGCCCCCTCCTAACAACATGTCCGAAATATATGAGACAAAGTTTCAGAGTTCTCACCACTAAGGGGTGCGCTAGCTGTACTTCCTCTAGGATGTATTTGTTCTTGTGGCGATCTATGGGACAGTCAATATGCCTCACCAACACAACAATTCAAAGGCGTCAATTCTTCTTTGGTCTTCCTTATTTACTCTTCAAACTTCACATACAGAAAAAGAGCCTCAAAATACCACTGTTTGTATCAGGCAAACCTTAGTCTTTAACTGACATTCTTGCTATTTCATATTTTCATACTTTCAAAAGGTCCCTGGCAACAGATTTCTCCAATTCAATATATCTTTTGATTTTGTCACTCCTGATACCATGGGTGTTGTTTGTGGATCCAAATAAAGTTAAATCACTGACCATTTCAATCTTTTATCCACTTACCACGTTGTTGCCTCTTGGCCCAGTGGTAAGGATTTCCATTTTCTTGATGTTGAGATGTGTAGCCTGTATTAGAGGCTGTAGTCTTTGATCTTCTTCGCTAAGTGCTTCAAGTCCTCCTCACTTTCTGCAAGCAAAGTTGTGTCATCAGCATGATACAGGTTGTTACTCTTAAGTCTTTCTCCAATTCTCATGCCACTTTCCTCCTCATATAGTTCAGCTTCTCAGGTGATTTGCTCAGCGCACAGACACTGTTCCTGCTTTTTTAAACCATGCAGTGTTTCCTGGCTCCATTCAAACTATTTCTTAGTCTATGCATAGGTTTCACATGAGCATAATGAAGTGATCTGGGATTCTTTTTCTCCTCATTGCTATCCATAATTATTACCCACACAGTCAAACTAGTATTTTCTGCTCTTCATCTGCCATCAGCAGTTCTATCTCTTGTTCTGTAGCCTTTTCGGAATCCAGCTTGAATTTCTGGAATTTCCCTGTCAATGTACCCTTCTAATAATAATTTTTAAATAATCTGCAATATTTTACTTGGACGTTAATGAAAATGTTCAGTGATTGCCTTACTCTGTTGGATCATCTTATTTTAAGAATAGTAACAAATACAGATCTCTTCCAGTCAGTTAGCCAGGCAGCTGTCATCCAAATTCCTGACACAAATTGATGATCATGTCCAGGGATACATCTGCTTCCTGAAATCCCTCAATTGGTATTCCATCAACTCCTCAGGCTTTACTCATTTTGCAAATGCCTTCTGTAGGGCTTGGACTTTTTCCTTCAGTACCACGGGCTCTTGATCACAGGCTATGTTCTGAAATGGTTCCGTGTTGACCATTTCTTCTTGGTACGGTGACTCTATCCTTTCCAGCTTCCTGCTTCCTGCATCATTATCCTGTCCAGCTTCCTGCATCATTCAGGATTTTGTCCACAGAATCTTCAGTATTTCAACTCAAGGCTTGACTTTTTCCTTCATTTCTTTCTGCTTGAGAAGCACCAGGGACATTCTTTCCTTTCAGTTGTCCAACTTCAGACAACTCGCACATTTCATTTTAACTTTTGTCTTCTCCAGCTGCCCTTTGAAATCTTCTGCTCAACTTTCTTCAGCAATCCATTTCTTGTTTTTTGTTTTGTGTGTATCAGTACAAGTTTCATAGTCTCTTCTGGTCTTGTCTTTTACCCCTGTCTTTGTAATGACCTTGAGTTTTCTTCATGGATGATGTTCTTTCTTTAAGTCATACCACAACTTGTCTGGTATTCAGACATTAATGTTCAGTGCTTCCAGTCTGTTCTAGAGATGGTTTTTAATTCTATTGGGACAGATTAAAGATTATATTTTGGTTGTCACAAACTGTTTTCCCTTTTCTTCATCTCCAGTTGAAACTTGTATATGAGTAGTTGATGACCTGTTTCACAGTCAGCCCGTGGTCTTCGTTTGGTGGCTGATAATCGAGTTCTCCCGCCCACAGTCTCTCTTCACAGATGTAGTCAGTCTGATACCTGTGTAGTACATCAAGTGATATGGAGCAAAAGCTAGACAATAAAAAAAGATGACCAAGGAAAAACTGATAGATTTTTATGTTGATGAAGAATATGGAATATCCCATGGACTACCAGAAAAATGTACAAATCTGTCTTGAAAGAAATACACCAAGAATATTCTTTAGAAGGGAGGATGACAGAGTCCAAGTTCTCTCACTCAAGACAAGTCATCAGTAAAGACTGATCTCTTGGAAAGGGCCCAGACCAGCAAAGGGTCAGCCGGCTCAAGAGGAAGCCTCAATGAGATGGGTGGACAGGGTCCATCACAGAAGTCATCAGTCACATGGGCAATCATGAGTCACAATCACCACCCACATATTGAACTGGATCCAATTTCAGAGAAGCCTCTAGCATACTCCCTACCACAGGATTATTTAATAAATACTTGAGAAAAGAAGTTAAAAAGCAAAGGAAAAAAACAGACAATGTATTTCACATTGATATAAATGAATTTACAATGCAACAGACAAATCTTACTATAACGGCATCTATGAGCACCAACTAATTCTGTTTGTTTATATTTCAGAGTAAATGACACTAACCAGATTGCTTTTTTCCAGTAGGTTTAGTGCTTTTCTTCTCAACAACCCCAAAGTACAGTGGAGAAGTTGATAGGACACAGGAACTAAAATAAAAACAAGATGGGAATAGAAAAGCAATGATGCAATTGTTTCACTGAAATAATTCCTTTAAGGATCATTACAAGTAATTCGGGGTGGGGGGTTAATTTACAATATTTGAAAACAAGTAAATCTAGAGAATTTAGTCTTATCCTGCATCTAAAGAAATATTTTGGCATACTGAATAAATTTTCTATCTTAAAATTTGTAGCCTATCTTGAAATAAAATATCCCTTATTTTGAAAACTTTGGATGGGGTTTTTTAAATGGTATTTTAAAATATTTTAATAATGTTTTGCTCCTTTATGATTATCACAGGAATCCAGAATTAAGGTTGCATGGTGGAGTGCATTTGGGGTGGGGTGGGGGAGGGGAGCAGGGTCGGGGGGGGGAGGGATTGTATACCAATGAAGAAGTTTATCTTTTGCTTTTCAAAGAGAGGCGCGAACTGGGGGAGGGGGGTAAAGAAAAAAGTGCAACAATGAATGAATGAATGAATGAAAATACAAAATCTCTGTAAATGTTCCTTAAAATTAATAAAATAAAATTTTTTAAAAATTGTGTTAAGTCAAAGTTTACAGAAAGGCTGTTTTTCCATTATTGATACACTTTTTCCTCCGCCCCCATTTCTTCCCCCAAGTCACTATGTAGTGCACATCATGTTCCAGACTGTCATAAACATAATGTCTCATCATCCATCGCTTTCAGATGGTCTTTCCCTTCACCTATTCCACGATAGTGCTCATTATCTATCCACTTTGTTCCCATGAACAGTTACTGGACAGATCCCTGAAAGGCATTATTTACAATAGGATGACGTGTTTCCCTTTCACTGTGCTGTTGGTTCCTCTCAGAACACTGGTTTCCCTGCCCCTTTATCACTTTGTCATTGCTCCTGATACATTGGCAGCATCTTGGCCTCATACTGACGGTTTTTAAGTGGTCACTCATCTTCTGACATCTTTTAGTTTGTGAGTCACTTGGCTATTTTGCCAAATTGTCATCTCAGAGGACAGGTCAGTTCTAGAAGTCTCAAGGCAGGAGACCATGAGGCTCCCCTCTTTTCTAGTCCTGGATTTTTCCCTTCTATAGGAATTTGAGTTCTGCTTCATCTTTTCCTCTCATTTTATCCTAGACCACCTATTGTGACCCCAATCCAGTAGGAAAGGGCAAGAGTGTAGCCAAGCACAACCTAGATCTGTCCTCTGAGTAGACGAGGTCATGCCTCTCCCAGACTTGTCCATACTCTGAACTTCTGGATGGTTGCTCAAAAGCTTCCAGAATCCCAGACCCTGTCGTAATGCTCTGGTGAGGGCTTCCAGCACACTGGTGAGCAGCAACGATGATGGTTTCATTCCCATTCTGAAAGGGACCTCTCTCAGTCTTTCTCCACTGAATATAATGTACACTGTTGGGTTTGCATTTATCACTTTAATTATGTTGAGAAACTTCACTCTCTATGTTCACAAGCAATCAATAAAGGGTGTAGAGGATGAATAGGGGTAAAACCACAGGGCTACACAGTTTGGTGGGTGGGGGTGTGGGGTAAATGAGAAGGACCTGGGAGAAAAGACAGGGTAATGATGGGCAAGATCCAATGGTTATTAATCATATAAAACATAATGCACGAGAATGACTGTATGAAACACAATGTGAATGAAGAATAGTGTGAAACACAATATATACAAACTTTGTAAGCAAACTAATAATTTTTAAAATGGGCTTTGAAATGTTCTAAAACCTTTTCTGCATTAGTTTATATGACATGAAGATTATTTTATTTATGTGAAGGAAGACTACCCTTTTAGGGATGATTTCTGTAGTTTTTTATGTTACAGATTGCAAATTTCATTGGCTATTTTTCTAATATCAAACTATCCTGTAATGCTGATATGATTCCCAGTTGATCATGGTATACCATTTTTGGGTTATTTGCCATATAATCGGAACTGACCCTCCAGGAGATTTTTCAGACACAGCAAATTGCATGGGAGGAGACTGCCCATCTTTCTCCCATGTACCAGCTCATATGACATCATACACCTTTGGGTTGACAGTGTAACTTCTTACCACTAAGCCACCAGAGCTCTCTATAATAAGGGATATTTATACATCATTTTCTTGTTCTGTTATGTCCTTTCCTGACAGATACCTGGATTATATTGGCTTCACAGAAAACTTGGCTAGTGTTTCTTCTGCTTCTGTGTTTTAGAGGAAACACAGTAGGATTGCTGTGAACTCTTACTGAATAGTCTGGCAGAATTCTCCAGTATATCCATCTAGTGCCACTCGTTTAAAAGCATTTTTCAACCCTCTATTGTAATGTGTCTGTGAAAATTTTCTTCTACTGTTTGCTAAATTAGAGACTTGGGTAAGTAGACTATTTCATGGAATCTGCCCATGTGATCTAAATTTAATTTGTTTTAGTATTTTTTCATAGCATTTAATTATTACTTTATGTCTACCATTATTGTTATGTGCTCTTGAGCTACCACTCACAGCTACACTATGGAAAAATAGATCTGAACTGTATCATATCCAGCACCGTCCCCACACACTCTGACACGCTCACGGTTACTGTTATAGTTACTGGTTCAATCCAACATGTTAAGGATTAACATTAATTTGAGGGTTCTCTTTTAACTCTGATCCTATACCTCTCCCAGGATGATATCTTTCCCAAGGACTGACACCCCCTGACAATATGCCCAAAGAATAGGAGGTAAAGTTTTACCATCCGTACCTCCAAGGAACAATCTGGTTGCACTTTCTCCAAGCCACACTTGTTCTTTTGTCAATCCATCAGATAATTAATACTCTATACCCTTCTCCAACACCACCACTCAAAGATACCTGTTGACCTTCTGTTCTGCTTAGTCACCAGACACCTTTCAGGTGCATATGAAGCCATTGCAAATACCATGGCTGGCATCAGGTACATCTTGCTCTTAAATTGACAGCCTGCTCTTCAGTACTTTAACAGCAGTTCATCCAATACAGCACATATTTTTCATTCCTATCCTACTATTACAATGGGTGACAACTATAGATCCAAGTAAAATTAAATTCTGGGCAATTTCAATCTTTTCTATCATGATGTTTCTATTGGTCCAGTGAAGATTATCAGAATTTTTGGTGTCTTGATGTTGAGATGTTAAGTCACCATACCAAAAAGAATGCAAAGTATGCTGTCATTGATCTTCTCCAGTAATTCAGGTCTTCACTTTCTGCAAGGTTGAGTTGCCTGCAGAATGAAGGTTGTTGAGTATTCCTCCAATCTTGATGCCACATTCTTCTTCATCAAATACAGTTTCTCGAATAATTTTCCCAGTATACAGTTCAAATAGCTATGGAGACTCTTATCTTTCCTTATTTTAAACCATACAATGTTCCCTTATTCTGTTTGGACAACTGCTTCTTGGTTTATATATGTTTGTTTCTTGGGTTGCTGGATTTTTCAATTGGTTTGCATACAATCATTCACATATGATTCTTTGATTTACACAGTGCTTAATATAATCAGAGAGCTGGAGTCAGAAAACCAAAAGGGCCAAACTCACTCAGCATTTCTTAAGCTGAAGGAGTTGAAAAACAAATTCAAGCCACGGATGGCAATACTTAAGGATGTTTTGGGGAGAGTGTTGAATAATCCAGGAAGCATTAGAAGAAGATGGAAGGAGTACACAGAGTCACTGTATCACAAGGAACTGGCTGAAACAGAAGAATTTCATGAAATAACATATGAGCAAGAGCCTGTGGTGATAAAGGAGGAAGTTCAACTTGCTCTGAAGGAATTGGCAAAAAACAAGGCTCCAGGACTCGATGGCACAGCAATTGATACATATCAACAAACAGACGCTGCCCTGGATGTGCTCACTAAGTTGTGCCAAGAAATCTGGAGGACAGCCAGTTGGCCGACTGACTGGAAAAGATCGATATTTGTTCCCATTCCAAAAAAAGGTGACCCAAGAGAGTGCAGAAATTATCAAATAGTATCATTAAAATCACTAATGTTCTGTGATTGGAGTGGTGAAAGTGAGTGTATCAGAGACGATGAGGTTGGCACAGGATAGAGCATGGTTTAGGGCTCTTGTACTTAGGGTCACTATGAGTCACAAGTGAACTCGATGGCATATAACAACATTCATGTGCATTTTAGTCATTTCTATACATTTATAAAATTACTATTGATGTATGACGTATATCACCTCATCCAATTAGTCTGCTATAACATAGTCTGCTATAACATCGTATCTCTCAAGTGTCCACTAATCTCTGTTCAAGTGATTTCCTCTCCCTTTTTCTGAATCCCTACATCCCCTTTTTTACAACTATTAAATTCCTATTTAATAATCGCAGTAGCCATATTGTCTTTATCACGATCCTTCCCAAGCTGTTCTTCGCTTGTCTTGGTCCTTCAAATGTTCATTTTCTGTCCATTCTATTTTGTTTCTCTGCTCCCCATTCCCACCCCTAGTCCCTAATCACTCAAGCTACCCTTCTATTTTCACAATAGAGTTCTTATGCACGATTTGTCCTTTATGACTGATTTATTTCACTCAACATAGTGTCCTCTAGACTCTCACATGCTGTGTTATATTTTCAGGTATAGGTTTTGCATGAGCACAATTAAGGGTTGTGGAATTCTCATTCCTTTTAGTGTTATCCATACTGTGTTCTGATCCACACAGTTAAATGTGTTTGCATAGTCAATAAAACCCAAGTAAACATCTTTGTTGTATTCTCTGCTTTCAGCCAAGACGCATCTCATATCATAAATTACATTCCTCATTCCAGTGTCTTATGAAACCAGTTTGAATTCATGGCAGCTCCTTGTCCATGTACTTCTCCAACCATATTTTTAAAATAATCTTCAAGATTTTGCTTCTATGTGATATTGTCCTATAATGTGTGCACTCTTGGAGCCCTTTTTTGAAATGGAAACAAAAGTGGATCTTTGCTGGCTGATTAGCCAGATGTCTCCAGAATATCATGGTGTGACTGG